GCAAATTTTCACTGTCACTGAGATTTGAACTCTAGACCTGCCACTTGGGAGTTGACAACCTATCCACTTCACTAGGTCACCACACCCTTTATCTTTTGCATTTGTATATTATCAAAAATCAACATATATGAAACATAATGATGGAATATTTAATGTTAAACATTGTTATGAAAATGGAATAGAAATTAAAAAAAATATAAAGAAGGCATTCAAATATTATCAAAAATCAACAAACATGGAACAAGCTAATGGAATATACAATCTTGGACATTGTCATGAAAATGGAATAGGAGTTGAAAAAGACATAAAGTGGGCATTCAAATGTTATAAAAAATTATCAGATATAAGACATGCAGATGGAATATATAATCTTAGACATTGCTATGAAAATAGAATAGGAATTGAAAGACATAAAGAAGGCATTTAAATATTATCAAAAATCTACAGATATAAAGCATGCTGATGGAATATTTAATGTTGGACATTGTTATGAAAATGGAATAGGAGTTGAAAAAGATACAAAGAAAGTATAAAAAAGTCACAAATATGAGACATACTGATGGAATGTATAATGTCAGATGTTGTTATGAAAATGGCATAGAAGCTGAAAAAGATATAAAAAAAGCATTCAAATATTATCAAAAATCTTCAGATATAAGATATGCTAATGGAATATATAATGTTGGACATTGTTATGAAAATGGAATAGGAGTTGAAAAAGATATAAAGAAGGCATTCAAATATTATCAAAAATCTGCATATATGAGGCATGCTAATGGAATATATAATCTTGGATGGTGTTATGAAAATGGAATTAGAGTTTATTCACTTGAACATCTTGCATCCAAATATTATCAAAAATCAGCAGATATGAAACATACTGATGAAATATTTAATGTTGAATATTGTTATGAAAAAGGAATAGGTGTTAAAAAAGACATAAAGAAGGCATTCAAATGTTATCAAGAATCAGCAGATATCAGATGTATAGATGAAATATATAATGTTAGACATTGTTACTGAAATGGAATTGAAATTGAAGTGAATGAACATGAGGCATTAAAATATTATCAAAAGTTTGTAGATATGGGTCATGCAGATGAAATAAATCAAGTAAAATTTTGTTACATAAAGGAGATTGAAGTTAAAAAAGATATAAAAAAGGTATTCAAATGTTATCAAGAATCAGCAGATATCAGATGTATAGATGAAATATATAATGTTGGACATTGTTACTAGAATGGAATTGAAATTGAAGTGAATAAACATAAGGCATTAAAATATTATCAAAAGTCTGTAGATATGGGTCATGCAGATGGAATAAATCAAGTAGGATTTTGTTACATAAAGAAGATTGGAGCTAAAAAAGATGAACACGAGGCATTCATTTATTATCAAAAATATGACAAAAACAGAAATGCAATTAGAACTTATAATCTTGGATATTGTTATAAAAATAGAATAGGAGTTGAATAAGATACAAAGAAGACATTCAAATATTACAGAAATAGAACAAGTTGATGGAACATATAATCTTGGATGTTGTTATAAAAATAGAATAGGAGTTGAAAAAGATACAAAGAAGCATTCAAATATTATTAAAAATCAACAGACATAGGGCATTGAGGTGTCATATCGACTATTTGATCAAAACTATGTCAGTTACATTGATAATTTTACTATAATTAGATTTTTATTAGTAAAATTAGTAATCAATTAATTAGTAATCAATCAAATAAAATTTTACTATGCTTAATTATAAAGAAAAGTGCAAATTTCTAAAGACTTCACATAAAAATTGCACTTATTTTTCTGATTTCTGTTAACTGGAAATTATTTATTAGAATCATCTCAAAGTAACTAAGTTTGATTTTTCGCTAATGCTTTAATTAAGTTTCAACTTATACATTTAATATAATTTTTTTGGCCTTCATTAATGAATTTTCCAATATTCTATAAAGCGAATGCTCAAAACTAATAATTAATAAAAGAAATTGAAATGAAGCTTTATTCTTTGACTTTATATAAACAACTGGTAAAAATTTCAAGTCAATTTCACATCTTGGTGATAAGTTGAAGCATTTTAAAGATCAGATTTAAATTAATAATATTTGATAAAGACTTGTCTTATCAAGAAAGATTAAGTGTAATTATATTATAATCTTTTATAAATTGTTTATAATAATTTTAGAGTAAGTCCAACATTTTAAAATAAATCAATCACAATTATAGGCAAAATGCTATGGGTATCCAAAAAAAAAACTTTTAGCATGTAAAGCAAGTCAAGTGTCAGTGAATGCATGAAAAGCTGTTCAGAAAGAAAAAGCTGCTTAGCAAGAAAAAACTGTTCAGCAAGAAAAACCAATTCTAGAAGATATTAATAATATATTAATTCAAATAGATAATGATAAATTGCAATAGGTTTATCAAATCATTGTTCAACCTGCTAATAACAAAAAAATAAACCAAACAATACTTCGTCAAAGATTAATTGATAAGGTTAAACAACTACCTGATGATCAATTGAAATCTGCAGTCCATTTATTTGATATAATGTAATACTCTAAAGAACCAAGTGAGGGTAATTTACTTTTACCATTCTTGCAAAATAAGGCTCTAAATTTTATAAATTTATCTCTCTATCAAGCAGGTCAGAATTTAGACTCATTAATTCAAAAAAATAAAGAACTTCAAAAACAAGTTACTCAATTAGAACATTCAAATGCCAAAAAGAGTCATAAAGTTAGACAATTAATAGGAACATTGTCACAATATGAACTTAAAAAAAGACATCATATATCAAAAGTACATGCTGCAGCTTGAAAGCTACTACCTGCAGATTTTCAAAGTTTGAAGGCAGGCATTCAAATGATTCTCATAAAAAATAAGCATTAATATACAAACCATTTTATAAACTTAGCCATACAAGTGTTACAAATTAATCAAATGTCGTTTCGAAGTACTATTCAAGTTATATATTCATTTATAGATTTTTTAATTAGAGAAGATTCATCATTATCAATTTTAGCTCAATCCATTATTAGATAGAATAAGGAAATTAGTGAAATTCATGTGACTAAAATGTTTAATCAAAGCAGTTGTTTAGAATATTTTACTTTTGGAATCGCAGTGGATGAATTGACCTGAGGTCAACATAAAATATTTGTGCTATGTGTAATGTTCTGAAACTCCAAAGATAATAAGGCAGATTTTCAAGTATTGGTAATGAACGATTTAAATTCTTGCAAAGAAAAATCAGTTGCACAAGCAATATTTGATATATTTAGTCAATTTAAATTAAATACACAGCAATGCATTATATGTACCTCAGATAATACTAATTATATGAGTGGCAAAGCTGGAGGCGCTATTTTATTATTTAACCATTTAAGTAATACAAACCTGTTTCGAATTCTATGTGCATTTTATATTACATATATTGTAATGAATAATTTTAAAAAGGCTGCATTTGGTAAACTAACTAGTATAGGATTTTTGTAGAAAGAACTTTCAGCAAATCTTTTATATTTGGTTTGGGATCTTCATAATGGTTATGACAAGAGTGATAAGGATAAACTGATGGAAATATAATCTGATTACATTTATAAACTTTATAAAGAGCACTTCAACTATCAGTTAACAAAATACCAGCAACCTATTAGATCAAGATAACTCTATAAATTAAAATGTGCAGAGCAATATTTAGAGCAAAGGGACATTCATATAAAATTTACAAAATGGTTTCTATCTTGTCTTAAAACTAGAAACAATACTCCAAAATTATATATAAAAAAATGGAAGTTATATCAAAGCTGGCTTCATAATTCAACTTTAAATATACAAGTTAAATTACTAGTCTGTTTTGAAAAAAATTTTTATTACCCAATGTCTAAATTTCTTATGAATTATAACTTTGAATTACAATTATTATTAATAAATCTTCCTCCTGATCATTGTGTATACCTGATGCCTGACTTTGTAACTTGTACCATCATAAAACTTAAAAATATTGCTGAAGATCCTTATTTATTTTTTAGAGAAGAGTTACTTGAATGTCTTAATTCGTTAAATAATAATTAGCTTGCCAAGCTTATATCAGATTTGGAATATGGTATACAAAAAGCATTAGAGCTTTACCAAAAATGATCAAATTGCTGGCTACATTTGCCTCTCAGTATTTGTAGATTAGGTAGAAAATTTAGATGAGAATTTGCATGAAGCTTTGCACATGTTATTTTAAAAACACCTTGGTCCTTGGTACCATTATTACGAGAATTGTGTTATGCAAAATTTATTAAATTGGATATTGAATCTGCTGAATTTAATAATTTCAGGCTATCAGTTGCATTATTTGATTCTGAATTTGGTTGTGAATTTCATCAATTTATTCAAGAATGAAGACTTTTAACTCATTTTTCAAAGATATATGAATTTGTAAAAAATCAAATCTGATACATTTTGGTACACCAGCAACAAGTTGAAGACTTGTTCAATAAGTGGGATCTTAAAACCCATCCAAATATGACAAATGACCTTCAACAATCAAAATTACAGCTTGCAAGTTTGCCACTTACTGAAATTAGTTGTAATTCTTTAGATTTAACAGAGCTTAGAATTAAAAAATGGCAACAACAAACTAAACTTACAAATAATTCAATTTCAATTAAAGAAAATTTTAATAATAGCGATGGTAATCATGAAGAAAGCGCTAATAAATTGTTTGAAGATTTATTTGGTCATAATAGTCTTATTGTATAATGTAATAGCAATAGCCTTATTGTACGTATAGTACATAATAAATTAAAATTGATTTGCATTTGTGTAACGTAAAAAATCTGCAATATAATAAATTATATAGGTTTGATCAAATAGTCGATGTGACACCCCAATAGGGCATGTAGATGGGATATATAATCTTGGACGTTGTTATGAAAATGGAATCGGAGTTGAAAAAGATATGAAGAAGACACTCGAATATTATCAAAAATCTGCGGATGTGGGGCATATAAATGGAGTGTATAATGTTGCGCGTTGTTATCAATGCGGAATAGGAATTGAAAAAATGAGCACCATGCATTCATTTATTATCAAAAATCTGCAGATGAGGGAACAAATGATGTTGGTCATTGTTACCGTAACGGAATTGGAGTTGAAAAGGATGAATATAAAGCATTCATTTATTATCACAAATCTATTGATATGGGTAGCGCTAAGGGAGCAAATGATGTTGGCCGTTGTTACCGTAGCGGAATTGGAGTTAAAAAGGATGAACATAGAGCGTTTATTTATTATAAAAAATCTGCTAATATGGGTAATGCCTCAGGAATAAATGAAGTTGGTTATTGTTATCAAAATGGAGTTGGAGTAAAAAAAGATACAAATAAAGCGTTTAACTGGTTCATGAAATCCGCAAAGATGGGTAATGCCACTGGAATACATAATGGTTATTTATGTTACTTAGTTGGATCTGGAGTAACTAAAGATTCACAGCTAGCTAATTACTGGTATCGAATGTAAGTAATGATCAAATGAATAAACAATATAGTTATATCTGATACAAGTTTATGTTTACATATAAATAGGGAACGAAACAAATTTCGATTAGATGATTTTGATAATGATTTAAGAGAGATATTGAAAGATGAAAGAAATCATGAATTATTGTTAATTCTATACATTGAACTCAAGAATACTAAAGAAATCGGTAAAGGTGGATTTTCAACAGTATATAGTGCCGAATGGCCCTACAGCCGTTCCGTAAAATTGAAAATTGCCCTTAAATCGCTACATAAAACAAATTACGATGAATTTATAAATGAGGTAATTTTATTGTTCTTTAAACTATTCATTTATGACTAGTTTGTTTAATTTCTTCAAAACAGATATTACACATTTATTAGTTTAAAGCATATAGTAAAATAGGATACGAAAATTCTTCATTTCTAAAATGTTATGGGATAACACAACAACCGGACTCTAAAGAATATATCCTTGTCTTAAAATATGCATCAAAAGGTTCTTTACGAAATAATCTTCGAGACGTATCTCAAATGAAATGGGAACATAAATTAGGGTTATTAAATGATATTATTTCTAATCTTGAAGCAATTCATTCTCAAGGGTATATTCATCGAGATTTGCACAGTGGAAATATTTTACAAGACGATTTACATAGTGCATATATTTCTGATCTGGGATTATCGAGTTCAGATTCTGAACAAACGAAAGATGGGATTTTTGGAATTCTACCATATATTACCCCAGAAATTTTAATGCGCCAATCATATACTATAAAATCAGATATTTATTCATTTGGAATAATAATGTGGGAAATTTTATATGGGATGCCAGTGTCTTATTGTCATAAATTTAGTAAGCAGCAGCTTCAATTAAAAATATGTTGCGATTCTTTACGACCACCCATTAACAATGAAGCACCACGATGTTATGTAAATCTAATGAAAAATTGTTGGAATAATGAACCTGAAAAACGACCATCAGCAGAAAAACTTCATGAAATTTTTATAAAATGGCAAAATGACAAAAATATTTTATTAGAATTGAAAAAATCAAAACCAACTATTGAAAATATCCAAAAAGTATATGTAGACATGTTTAGTGGTGGAAGAACGTTTATTTCCTTTACTAAATCAACTTTAGGTATTAATAGTGGGTTACAAAATTTGAAGATTGATGACATTAATTTTGATAATAATTAAATTCATAATAGAAAATAAAGACTTTAAAGAACAATACTGTAAAATTTTATTAATAGCATTTACTATACTAATAAAAGGAATAACAATAAAGTTAAACATTTATAAATTTAGCTAATTTGCAGGCATGAGTTTCACTTATGATCATCTATATACGTATAACCAGAAGATCTACATTATTAAAAACTCTACATGTTGAATGACAACATTCAACTGTGGGTACTATTCGTAAATTATATATAAAACTAATAGTAAAACTTTTTGTTGAAATTGTGCAACATAATTTTTTTTCTCCTGCTTTTCTTTATTAGAACATTAATATATTGTTCCAAGCAAGTTGGTACATGTTATATCATTCAACCTAAGAATGATTCACGCAGTTTTCTTTCATAGGCAGGGCAAACACAGATTGCTATGGTTTACTTAAATATAACCTGTTTATCAGTACATTTTCTACCTAGGGATCCTCAGCTTACTGAGGATTTGAAAAAGTGGCGAAATTCTGATGAAAGGCGAGACTCCTGGCGAAAGTAAAAGCTCTCAGCAAAGTTTAAATTCTCTAAGACTTTGAAAAAGACTGAGCAATTTTGAATGAAATATTTGCATGCGACTATTAAGCACAGTATGTTACAAAGAAGCTATGTTGAATGAAATATTACATGTGGCTAATAGTTCTTACCAGTATCAGCATCAAAAAGTTGCTGTCACATGACAATAATAAAAAATTCGTTAAGGTTAGGGTTAGCATTATATTATCGTTATGGTTAGATGTTAGTGAGAGTGGATTAGTAAAATTGCTTAGGAAAATTTTTCGCTAGTGCAGTAAAGATGGTTTCCTAAGTAAGTTTTTTGAGTTATGAACGAATTTTTTGAATGGTAAATATTTTGAAATAACAAAATTTTTTTGTTTCATAATTGTGTCTGATCATGTAAAATTGTCTTTTGGTAGCCGAATATTTCTATAGCGAAGGCATTAGGTCAGAATGTGGACTTCATTATATTGAGCTTTAACTGTAGTTAAAATATATACCTAAGCCGTGTTGGTGAATGAAAATATTTACGTGCAGCTATTAATCGCCAGATTGATGAGTGAAATTATTTGCGTATGGCTATTAAGCTCATTATGTGGATTAAGTCATCTGTTCTTCAAATACGTGATAGCTCGATAAATCACGTGACTTAGACCCTCGACCAACGCCCGGCAGTCGTAGGATGCCGATGAATCTAATAGATTGAATCGATATTCACCCCCACACTTTAACTCATACAGGGGACCGGGGTTAAATCGTCACCCAAAAAAATTTCGGCTGTCACGTGAAAAATAGATTACGCTCCAAAAATTCGTGTAACTTGAATAAAAAATACAATCAAAAAAAATTAACCTTTACAATTGCAAAATTAAAATTAACGAAATAATAACGATAAGCAATCAATCAATCAATTTATTTATTTGAATAAAAACTTCATATTTATTACAGCCAGAAAGTATTGTGATTACGGTTTTTCCAAGTATTTGGCATATTCCGTTGTCTTTTAAAATGATTATAATCCACCTCCAATTTACACAATGGCTCAAAATTTTTATTAATACTTTCGAGCCATTTGTTACCATTAGGGTTCATCATGTTTTCTTCAATAATTTGTTTTGTTGCATCCAACAAGTTAAAAATTTCTTGTTTTTGGGTTTGGTATAAGATTGTAACTTGGTTGCTGATATCTATTTCCTGATTATTACTTGAAACAATGTTGACGGATTCTTGATTATCGATATCAACTTGAGGGTCAACATTATGGGCAGCTGCTTCATGGGTATAATAATTATAATTTAAGTTTTCATATGCAAAATGAAGGTTTTCAGATAAATTAGTAAAGAGATCCTCTTTCATGATCTTTTAATAAAGAATAAAATTCTTGATGAGTTATCTTAATATTAATGAGATAAATATTTAAATTTAAGTTGTTTTTTTTTTTTTAGCTTTTTATAGAAGCCTGATTCTACAGAACCATACATTTGAATTAAATGTTTGTATATATGAAACTGGTTTAAGAGAAAACCAATACATGAGTAAGTCCAGTATAATAAATTAGTAATACAATTAGGATTTGGATTTATTATATGAGTAACAAGTTTTTTCTACTATAATCAAAATTTTTCATGGCATTTAGAAATATATTTATTATTATATAATAAATGTAAATAACTAATTTGAGATAGAATAACTTTCATTACAATTATATAGATAATTAAATCTAATCTTATATAATTAAAACTTGAAAAAAATCATGTTTTAAAATATGTCAATATTTTTCTATATTCATTATAGTTTATAAAATATTAAGCTTTGAGCTTGATGCATGAGTTTACAATCTCTATTTATTAGAGTGGTACTATTTGAACTACAAATAAATTCAAACATGTTTAAGATTATTTTGATAACAATAATTGTATTACTCTTTAATACTTTTAATCCAAATTTGATTCATGCTTAAAAAGTTTAATGAGCATTCTATAAGTATTATTGGATGTCATAAAAAATATATTCAAACAAGTTGAAGAATTTTTTCATGAAAGTTTTTTTTACAAAAAACTTTATCTTTTTTATTTGATATTTGTTTCTGATTTGTATAATTTATTATTACTTGATTTTGTTTAAATGGTTGTTATATAGGATTAATAAATGAACAAAATAAATATACTTTATAAGAACTATAATTATTATATACAATGCTGATACTTGAGAGTTTTTTTTGATTACATGAATTATATGCAGTAGCATAACTAAATTTCTGTTTCAGTCCAAATTTTATTTACAGCAATAAGTTATTCATGATCTTTATCTATTAAAATAGTTTTGATATTTTGAATTCTATTTATTTTTAAATATTGGATCCACTTAGTAATTGCATAAGTTTTGTTATATATGCATTTTGGATCAAGAAAAAAATATAACAAGAAAAATTCTAAATTATTTATAATTCTGAGAACTGTATATAATTCAAATTTTAGGTAGTTGGTATTATAAGTTGTACCAATAACAATTGTTCTTATAATTTTATTTAATAATAAAAATAATAAAAGGAATTAAAAATATTATTGCATATTGATCTTAATAGAGAAGCTTGAAACTTGAATTATTTTCTAAATATAATTGAGCAGATATTAATTGATTATTTGATAACTTATATTGTTTTATAATAAGTTTCTTTGACTAATAATAAATTTAATATCTAATAACATTTAAAAATCCATTAATCTTATTACTTTTAATGCTTTTATAAAGTTAAGAAACAGTTAATAAATTGTTCTCAATAATATAATTGTGAATTGATATAAAAACATTCATTATTTCAGGTAGTGAATGAAGATAATAATATATATTAACTATTGACAAATTATAAACATATTCAATATTAATTTGAATAATTCTATTACATACATATTGATTAATTTATAGTATTGTGTTTCATCTATTAGAAATATTATTAATACATGCTTTTTTATTTTTTAATTTTTTATGACAATTACAATAATAAATAAATAAAATTGAATTCTTCAATCTATTACATTCATGATATACCTAAAAGAACTTATCAACCTTTGAAATAAGTTTAATTAGATGTTGTATAACCTTTTTGTCTACTTGATCTTTTAAATTCATATCAACAATATGTAATAACAGATTCAGAATTATAAAAGTTTTTATTTTAAATAAATAATCAGGATCATAATCTTCTGAAAATGCATTGAAAATAACATCTACAAGATTTTTTAATACAATTGCATTTTTTTGATTGATTCTTATAATTTTATTTTTATTTTCATTTTTTTTATTTATTATTAGTAAAAACTTGAATATGGCAATCAATATATGTTTTTAAAAGATAGTATTTATTGAGTTTTATGCTTTTAAAAAAATTACTTGGTTTGTTAATATTGCATGATCACATTTCATTTTGAGAATTGAAAAAAAGAAATCATTTGCTAAATTAATTAATATTTTACTAAATATCCTAATACTAATTATGATCCTAATAATGATGAATTGATAATATTATGTAATATTCAAAATTTTTTTGGGTGGTGATTTTTCCCTGTTTCATACAAAGGAATCCCCAAAATTCTAAATCAGAACCATCAAATTGACCTGGCATTTAGTAATATAAGTTAACCATTTCTAGGCCAAAATTATCAGCTGAACAGCTTTACTTAATAAATGAGTTATGGTTTTATTAGTAAAATTTTTAGTGATCTTGAGCAAAATTAGTTAATTCTGACTCTGCCAATCATAATTCCAAAGTATTCTAACCTGAAATTTTTGAGATCCCTTTGTATGAGTTCCACTCTTTATTTATATATTATTACCTAGTAACCTTTCTTCTTCTTCTTTATTTTATATTGTTAACAATATAGAATTAGTATTAACAAGTAAACAAGAAATTAGTCATGCAAATCTATAGAAATAATCATGTATAAATAGCCCCGATATCATGATAGCATCTTGTGAAATATTTAATAAAAAGTCATTGTGTCTTCATACATGAATAATCAAGGATTTTATTAATAAATTATTATACGTCTATTTGTATCTTCATATTTATTTAGTCATTTGTCTCTTTCATAATTGCAAATTACTCTAAATCCTCTTAAACATTAATACTAGTTATTGACATAAATACTTGCTATAAAATAGTCATAAGATATTTAATTATTAACATTTTAACTTACTATCATCTTACATTAACCTGTGCTTATAGAGAGGTAGTCTGGGTCTAACAGTACCTAAACTAGTGTTTGAAAATAAATACTTTTAGACAATTATATACTAAATTTAACTTACATATACTTTTTACAAATAACTTATTCTATCAAGATTATATAACAATATACAGTTAGAACTGCATTAATTTACATTCCATTAATATGTAGACTAAATAAAAACTCTTTAAATGCATGATATGGTTTAATAACAGATAAATTGCTAGTCAAAAAATTTTGCTGGCTAATCTGATTTCAATATCTCATGTAACACCAAAAAGTGCAAAAAGATCAAACCAAAAAATGCTTGTAGCTCAAAATTTTGCTTATTAAAGTGAAATTTTACTGAACTATGACAAACATTAACCTACTGGTAGGATCTTAACCCTACACTAATTGCGAACCAATTTTTTTAAAAGATCACATAGTAGATGAAAATTTTTTGGGTGATGATGCTAGACTTTTAGTATGGCTTGGTCCTAATATATAATCTCTACTCTATAAATACTAAGCACACTATTTCAAAATTCTTTCTATAATACCAATGGCAGTGCATTTACAGAGTTCTAACTGTATATGAGTGTGGCCAATAGAAAACCTGTCATACAGTTAGCTGTCTGTAGAAAATTTATCATTATAGATTTTCCATAGATGGCTAACTATACACAAAATATAATTAAATGTGTGATAGCAGGTTTTCTCATATGTAATATTTTATATATTTATATAGTTGTATACAGTTTATCCTTATTATAATAAAGCAATTTTCTGAACCAATTTAAAATTATTATTATTATGTTATATAATGCTATAGTGAATATTTATTTATATTGAGGATAAAGCTCCAGAAAATGTGTACTAGGTTGGGTTTGGATAATCACCTGGATAATCAACCAGATAATCACTTTAAAAATTAAGCAATTTTGATTAATGCAATGATTTTTGTTGATTAAAAAAAAACAGATATATATATATATATTATATATCTAGTCGATTCTAAATGCAATTAATTTAAATATTTAAATTTTACAATAGTTCAGTCATAGGTTCTTGATAAAACATAGCAATTTTTTATAACAAACTTTTTTTTTCACTATCAATTTACTATAGAAAGAGTTAAGACTGTATAAAGTTTTCTTATTGATGCAAAGCTTTTTTCAATTAAATAAACAATATTTTATATGCTTTATAATGTTATACAATATTACAGACTTTTGCTTTTAATTGTTAATTTGGATGGTTTTTTTTTGACAAGTTTTTAACTTTAATGCTGTAAAACAATTAGTGTTTCTATTTTTTAAATTATGTGCGTTTTTATTTATATTTATTAATTTTTAGCTTTACTAAAATTACTATCTCTTTTCTTTAAAAAATGACTTTGATTCTTTTAACTAGATAAGTTCTGATCAGATGTATTATGTTGTTGATTTTTCTTGAAACTCATGAACTCACTTCAAGCATCTACTTTCTTTAATATTAATATTCTCAATTATCATGTTTTTAAAAGTGATTTTAGATTCTAATTTATCATAACTCTCAATACTTGTAAGCTGGCATAAGTATTCATTGAAGTGGAGTAAGTAGATTTAATATATTTAATAGTTTGTTAAGTCTAATTTATATTGTAGCTTTAGCTTGCAAAATAGCGAAGTAATGGTTTATAATATTAAAACTAGCTTCATATGTGTCACTACATGCCACATTTAAATTTCTATATAAAATGGTTTAACCAGTTTTTTATTGGTTTAAAATTTTTTTTAAAAATATCAAAGTCTAAAATAAAATGTTAAAATTAAAAATATTACTTTTAGTTAATTAACTTTAATTGTTAGTTAAGAAATTTTTTAAAAAAATATAATATTATATAATTTTAAATTTATTATATAGTATATAAAAAAAATAAAAAATATTTGATCACTTTAGTTTGTAGCAAAGCTATTATATTTTTAAATGCTATCAGTCAGATTATCATTGAATATTTGACACACATCTGTTACTAATATAATGTTCATTACTTTTCTTAGAATTGTATCCAAAATTTGTTATTTGATCTAATATTCAGAACTCAGCAGATTATTTCTGAATTATATCAATTAGACTAATATAATACAAATATACAGTTTTGTTATT